TTTTTTTTTTTTTTTTTTTTTTCAGTGGAAGGGGAAAGCCGTAGTCATTTTAAATAGATTCTTACTGATGCCTCCTTTAGTTGAAGTTGGGCTTTCGGATTTTTAAAGTTTTGCGTCAGTGCCTATTTTCTGTTATTTGTTGCTGTTTTTTTCACGAGCACAGCTGGTATGATCCAGTAGCATATCATTAAGCATGATCGCAATCTTACTTTTTCCAACCTATTGTGATTTTTTTCTGCGAAGATTATGACGCCCTTTAAACTTTCATTTAAATGATTTTGTGCCTTACTTTCGTAAATAAAGATTAACTTTTTCTGGGTGAACGTATTAAAACATGTCAAATACATTTGGCTCACGTCAAGATGTCGTCTTAAACGATTTCATGTCAGCACCGCTTGGCTTTAGGTTTATTGAGAAGTAGTTGCCAGTTGCGTTGAGAGAGATTTTTATGTTTGAAAAAGCTCAGATAAACGAGTCATCATTGGTACTGCTTACATGACTAGGCCAAACTAAGAGAAAAAGAAGCGGAATTGGGTTGTTGCACATAATAGTTGGGCAACACTGACATTGCTAAGTCCTAGGGGGGGCTCAAAGTAAATTGCAGTATGAAGGACTGGAGCTGACAAGATGAGAAGAAAGCTTGGCATATGAAAAAAGTGGAAGTTAGGGTTGCTAAACAGTTGTCCATCCTAAATACTGTATGCGTCAGCATTTTGTAACCAGCACTGTAACTAAAAGACAGAACCCAGACTAAGGTTCCGGCTACATTGTATTTGTCAAACCAATAGGCTGGGTTATTTTTTGGCTTTGCATGCGTAAACAATATCGAATGAAAGAGATGTCTGGAAGTACCAGTTATTTGGAATAATGAAAGCACTAAAATTTGCCATGAAAAACAAGTTTCATCTGCACTGATAATAGTAGCACTTAACAGTTAACAACTACTAATGAAAGACGCGTGAGGTATTGCTTGTTATTTGATATCTGTGGACAAGAAGAGCCCCGCCTGCTGCAAAGGGCCGGCCTGCCGGCCGGCCATTAAGGCAACTCTAACCCTTAGCGTCATTGTGCAGATCTGTGTTTATTTATTTCTTGAACTCCTGGCGGCAAAAAACTGCGAATGCCGTGACATATCATCTGTCTGCTGCAGCCGTTGCTTTCTTTATATGACGACAATACTTTTGGTGAACCTTGTTGCTGCATTTATCCATACCTGAACCCTAAATCTGAAATCCAAAACTCAAGCTGGTTGATTCAGTAATGCTGTTTGACAAATTTTTCAACAAACTCAAAGGAATTCGGGTAACATTACAAATGACAATTTTGTTTTTCACACTTTTTTTTACCTTCTATGACGATAGCTAATCGGAAATTGTATTGCGGGTATTAATGGTAGACGAAAAAAAGAAAAAAAAAAAAACGAAGAATAACTTTTATGGAGCTTCCCGTAGTGTTCTTTTTTTTTTTTTTTCTCAGTTAATGCTGATGAAATCTTTATTTGATGACAAGTTTTAGCTTCATGTTTTTGCATCAAGTTGTTTATCGACAGTTTTGGTGCAATTTGCAACATTTTTGCTGCCGCAGTTACATTCCAAAGTTTTGTTTGACCTCGTTGTTGCTGGATTATGGGCAATTTTTGTGTTTTTTTCCATCTACCGACAATATCATGTACCGGTGTTTTTTTATATTGCTGTTATGGTAAGTACTATAGGTTGTAAACTTGACTACTGTTAACTTTTTGCCATTAGGTGGACGTTTTTTTATGTTATCTCGGCAATAAATTCGCTATTACTTAGAGTAGATTCACTGAAGTTCAAATGAAGTGCATTTTATTGAGAAACACCGACTTCGATAAATAATATCTCATTTCAGTTTTTGACTGAGTGCGGATATTGCTTCCTTGCTTTCGTGTTTGGTTATTACTTAATAAGTTCAGACCTGGATCCAAGATGTTTACTTTGTATAGACCACCAGTTCATGTTTTGCAACGACCCGTGCGGTATACTTGTTACTTTTTTTTTTTTTTTTGTTTTCTTTTGGATTCTTATATAATTTCTTTGGCTTTTATATACGTCTTCTATTAATGGATCTTTCTGGGGAATGAAGAAAGCAAAAGTCATTAATTTGAGAATTTTGATAAGGAATGCGATATACCTCCTTCGCTTGTTAAATCGCAAGAGTTGCTGGGTTATTGTTGAAAAGCCCAACATTAGATAAATTTTATATGGCATTGTCAAATTTTTTTAACGTATTATGATGAAAGTTGAAAGATGACATTGAGGAAAAGGTTCGGGTTCTGTAAACGGTTTCAAAAAGAGTATTAGAAAGAATTTCAAACGGTGGAAGATTTTTTTGATGGTTAGTTTCTAAACGGTCCCGACTCGGCTGTTACAGCAAGTGAATATTTTGACTAAGTAGTTTTTTCTTCGGGTACACTCTATGCTTCAGTTTTCAGTGGTTTAAATTTGGTTCCAATTCTTCTTTAATTCAGACTGCGTATCCTAAATGACTTGTTTGGTTAACATTTACTAGTGCAGCAAGTTTTAGTAAGGATAAATAAAAGAGAAGTGCTCTTCACTTTGGTTTTGATGACATAACTCTTTACTAAATACTTTCTGGGTAAAATTTTTAGCTTCAAATCGTTTGTTGGCTGTTCTATCGGTGGCGTTATTCATCGTTTTTGCGTTCGTAAACGGCATTTGTATTTATGTAGTGTGTAAGTATGCCCAGCATTTAGTTTCCAGACCACCGAGGTATGCTTTTTCGTTTAATTTACTGAACTTTTTATCTTTTATGATAAATTTTTATATAGTTTTTTGCTCTCTACTTACCAAAAAAAAAGCTTGGTTTTTCTTTATTGATGTGGTCCTCGGGAACACTTTTGTCCTTATCGTTGTCGCACTGGAACAAGATGTTAAGGAAAGTGATTTACAAGCAAAGAGCTAATGCAGCTATGACCGTTTTATATAAATTCTCTAACTGAAATTATCTGAACAGAGAATTTCCCTGGTTTTTTTTAGTTGTTTTTGAACATAAAAATAGAGTAAAGTCTTTGATCTTTGTTGTATTTTTTATTTAAACACACTTCTCTGGTTTTTTTTCTGCTAAAAGATTTTGCATATGTAGTTTTTTTCACGTGAGTGGCTTATAATTTTTTATAGAGAGACATTTTCTGCGTCAAATATATCGGGAAATAATACGATAATCACAGATATTCATTCAAGCAGATTTAGCAAATCTGATGTAGGCGCCAGTGAAAGCTTGCTGTTATCAGAGGTTAAACAGTCATCTAAAGAAGAAGGTTCATCTACAAAATAGTTTGCTTTTTTGTAGCTTGCTTGCTTTTATGATATAGTTTTTGAGTATTTGTTAATATCCTCAGAAAATTCTTATGCATTTTTTTCACTCAGGATTTTTGACTTCTTCCTCAATTTTTTATTAACCTATATTTTGTGCCCTGTGCTTTTTCACTAATAATTTTGTGAGGTTCATCTTTTATGATATTTATTTTCAATGTCAACTTGTAGAATGATGATATTCAGTTTACTTCAGCATATTCGTTTCTGTCGCCAATACTATGTCTACTTTTTTGGACCTCATCCTAGATTGTATCAGAATGGACAATATGCTGTTTTTCTTTTCATTACTTTTGTAATTTCATTTTCTTTGTTTCCAATAAGATTCCAAAGTACTAAATGTTGATGTGATTCAGCTTCTTAATTTTATTACAAAAAAACTGGCTCTTTTTTTGTTGCCATAACTATCTGATAATTTTTTTAATTATTCTTTCTTATTAATCGAATGGTATAAAAAAAGAGAAACACTTATTTTGTAAAGGAAAATTGAAATTTTTTTGTGACAAATGTATATATTTTATTTGTGCTCTTAATCGCATCCCAAATGTACAAACTTGTCTTCTTCTTACTGCTTTGCTTGAAGGCCGAAATTTTACCTTTGATAATTTTGTTATTTTGTTACATACAATTAAGTTCACTGCTAATAAACTTATCAACTTTACAGATTTTTCTCTACTCAGAAAATTTTACTGAAACGTAACTTATAAAAGCTGCACACAATAAAATGGTAAATTTTCTTGAATCAAAAGTTTTTTCAAAATTATTTATGTTGGTTAGATTGATGAGATTTTTCAAGTTAATAGCTTAATACCGTGAAAGCATTGGGACTGAGGCCACTTATGGTGGTCAAAGAGCGATCTTTTTTGATGTACCCTTACTGTGTATTCAAAATGCGGATGTTTTGGAAGCTGCACTGTGCTTTTTTTGAGTGAAAAAGGTTTTATTCAACGAACACCTGGCTTTTTTTTGGGACTGTAGAGTGGAATAAGATCGAGCCTAAGAAAATTCTGGACTTTTTTATCAAGGTTTAAGAAAAGGGACCGTCTCTTCTCGTGTCAATTAAACAAAAACAGGTGAAAGCTATGCAGTCAAGCTTTGACTCATCGCTGACAGTGATTCTAGAAACCATAATTTTGTAAAACTAAGTAACTGCACTTGGCCTAACTTGAAAAGTGGGAATTATCAGCGCTGTTTTAAGCAAATTTTTGCGTGAAAGTGCGATTAAGAAAAGTTTGATATGAAATTTTAGAGCTAGCGATATTCAATAAATTTGGAAACAAATGTACAATAATGCTACTATTAGAGTCCCAACCTCCTCCTCTACTTGAATACGTCACAGGATCGAAGGAGCTCTAGCCGTTTTTCTTTTAAAATTACAAAATATTATGGATAAGAGGTGAAATCAATTAGTAGCGTAATTTGTTTACAGGCGTTTTGAATATTTAAACAGGCAATATTTGGTTAGAGGAAAATTACAGATTTTCATCTTTTTCAATGGAAGAGAAGATATGAGTTTTCACTGAACATTTTTTTATTATATATCAAGTGGCAAAAATAGTATTAATTTAAAAAAACTCAGTATTGGATACTGTATTCTACCGAATGTTGAATGAAACAGTTGCAATATTGGAAAGCTAACATAGATTAACAAAAAAAGTTTATTAAATAAATTTGTTGATCAAATAGCATTATCAATGTTCTTATCAATATGATAAATTAGTTGATTATCGGAAATGTTGTTGTACATTTGATAACAACAATAATGGTATCTTCAAAATGATTTAACTGTAATACCACTCGATGACCAAATAAATTTCCCACTAAAAAATTTGATCTTAGAAACAATGTTGTTTGAAGTAAGTTCTTTATTTCTTTTTTTTATTTATTTACTATGCATTATTTTTTATCGAAAATGTAGCTGAATTGTTCTTTGATCAGAAATTTTTTTTTCTAAAATTTTCATTCGAAATGTGCCAACCAGAATAATAGTTCTGAATCAAGAAAAAAATCTTTTTTTGTGTTCTAAATTGTTTTATAAAAATTTTATATAAACTGCTTTTTTAAAGGTAATATAGGTCGAGGCGTAAAAGTTGCAGTTACTATTCTTCAAAATGAACTTTATATAATCACTTTTAATTGGATAATTTGATAAAATTGACCAAAATAAATTTACAGATTTAAAATGCCTCTTTTTGAGTCAAAATTTTTTTATTGGTATACGGTGACAGGCGGGGTCTTTGGACGACAATCTCAACGTGTAGTATCTGTTCTCGTAATTATATCAATGCTTTCTGCAGCACCAATCGGTTATCAACTTGTCGTTTTAAATGTTCCTGCTCAGGTTTTGGTTAAATTTAATTCCTAACCATGCCTTTCTTTTTTTACTTTTTAAAAATATACCTCAAACGGTTAACAATTTTGCTTCCAATAACTGGCGTTTTCCAGATATGTTATCTGATCTTCCTCATCTTGTCCACTGCATCTGTAAATTATAACTTTAAAAAAAAAAAAACAGTTGATAAATGGACGATCAATCTTGAGTAGTACCTTCGTTGTCTTTCTATTTTTGTAAAATACAGATTCTCTAATCTAGTAACTTTTAGGTTATCCAAAATGCGCTCAATGTTACTGCTTTTCGACTTTTCACATGGTCTGTAACAAACACGGAACTTAGTGTAGTATGGTATAAGACAACTTTATAATTTTAATCGTTCAGTTTATGTTAATACTTTACTATTGTTGATTTGTCTAGTCAGGTAGAATTTTGAATATCAAATCAATATTTCGCCTGTTCATCTCTTTTTCTTTTTTTTACAGTCATACTACAAGTATTTTAACTTACAAACTATTGTTTAAACTATTCGAATGATATTCTGATTATGTTCAGTAGAATTTTACAAAAAGTTATTCTGATTGATAGGTCAACGGTGATTGCGATACAAAGTTTTGGTGCACTACTTGGATGTATTGTTACGCCTTTTACGATCTCAAAATTGGGTACAAAACTGACTGTCCTCGTCTTAAATAATACGGTGCTTGCTTTAGCCAGTTTAATTTATGTAACTGCAAACTCGAACTGTTCTGCATTTTTATTATTTCCCGGGCGATTACTCAGTGGAGTTTACATTGGTATTACATCTGTATCACTTCCCATAATGATTCAAGAATTGGCACCAAAAAATATTAAGGTAGCATTCTTGTAGTTCAGAGAGTTAATATTGGTGCTAAATTGCAGCTTCTGGCTCAGTGAACTTAGTAACATATAAAAAGTGCCGTTTTGAAGCACAAAACTTGGCAAACTTCTAGAGGAAAGGTTAAAGTAAGAAATAATGAAATTTTTAGGGAGCATTGTCGTGTTTGATACATGTTGCAGTTTGTCTTGGTGCACTCCTAGCATCTACGTTATCATTAGATTTTGCTCTTGGTAATGAACACTTGTGGGGGATCTTACTGGCCGCTCCAGCAGCTTTTGCATTTATACAACTTTTTGCTTCTTGGTTTATTCCTGATACGCCAAATCATCTGTTACTGCTTGATAAAGAAGATGATGCGATTGGTTCACTCAGGTAGAATTTTTAAAATTTTGAGGAATGCATCACACTGTAAGCAATTTCCCTATGTTAAAGAATACTGTAAGTTTGAATGGTAAGGCCCAATCATCTTTTAGTCATTTATGTAGTTCTTATTTTACGTGGAACGTGCGATACTGAGAAAATAAAGAATTTCATAAGACATTCAATTGGATGTTGTATTGGTGTATGAAAATTAAGCAAAAAAAAACACCTTTTTAATGCATTTTAACGCGCTAACTGTTGAGCGTGACTTGAATCATAAACGGATAAACAAGAGTGACTTAAGTATATTAAAAGATTTGTAGTTTTTGAACGAAAGGACAAATTTGGAAAAGCATTAAAGATTGCCAGGAAGGAACTCTATTTTAGTTTGATCAAACCATTCGCTAAGAATTTTCTTTGTCTCCCGTTGTTTTAACTGTAATTAAGTGTGTTAACAACAGTAGTTCTGGTCCATTTTCATGGTTGCCTTATAGAAGTTACTTACCTGGATATCAGTAACCGTAATACCGCAGTATTATAGGACTCAACTACTGCATAATTACAAGTTATTTTTATTAGAGATATAATTGAAGTAAAAAAAAAAAACTTGATTTTTTTCTGCTACTCCTCTTTGACCTCATCTGTTTTATGCAGTATCTGTTTTACAGATTCTATTATGGCATTAACGAGCTGGATAAGGCAGAAGCAATAGAGCAATATCAAAATTTAGTTCAACGGATTCCACCTCAGCTTTCAGCACGGAATGCATTTTACAGTCCATCGTTGCGAAAAGAAATTGCGCTTGGTGCTGTTGTCAGTGCTTCCCAGATCTTCTGCGGTAGCGTTGTCGCTGCTAGTTATTCGACAAGGTCATAAAATTTTAGACTTAACACGTTAGTACCAAACAATTATAGTAAGAATTACCTTCAGATGTTTAAGAGAGAACCGGTTGAGATGCACTCAGGATAACTTCTTTTTAGCATGTTTTACTTGGCATCTTTTACTGGCCCGTTAATTCCACTCGTTCCGGCGTTTGCAGCTCTGTTTAGTGCTTTGCTGTCTTTACCAGCTTTATTTGTCGTTGAATACTATGGAAGAAGAACTTTGCTTTTGGTTACTCTGGGCGTTTGCACTATTTGTGATTACCTTTTCACATGCTCTTCACTGTTTTCGGAAAGTTAGCAAAGTTTTGTTACGGTAGAATCATGTCTCTTGTTTTCACGGCACTGTCCCTCAACGGTTTGACTGTCATTCACTTCTTGAGTGAAAGTTTTCCTACCGTTCGCTGTTAAACTATTCTTGATATCTTCTTCACTGCTAAAAAAATGCTGCTTTACAATAAGCTTGAATTATTAATTTACTCTTACTTAAGGTAACAATCTCTTGGTTTACAGACAATTGCTGAGGTGTTTTAAAAGTTCCTAACCATCTGCTCTTCAAGTGGATCATATAATAATTCTATTCTAATTTTAGAAAATATTTTTTGGTCAACAGCTTTTGCATTAGCATTCTTCTTGTTTGGAATCGCTTACAACATCGGTGTAGGCCCAATAGCTTATTTTATCCCAGCAGAACTGGTACCACCGGCTGGTGCTTCTGTAGCACTTAGTGTTTCCGTAGCTGTTAACTGGTTCTGCTCTTTGGCGACAACCTTTCTTTATTACCCAATAGATGTCGCAGTAGGGGGATGGTCGTACTTATTATTTGCGATTCCAAGGTTAATTTTAAACATAGTCCTATTTGATTTCTGTTTTAAGTGTCATATTTGCTATCGTCTTACTGTTTAATAAGTTTTGCACACAATTATTTTAGTACTATATTCTTTTTGGTCCTTTACTTCTGGTTGCCTGAAACAAAGGATTTTTGCGATTCGGAATTCACTCGAACTATACGGCGTGATTCCCTCAACGAAGTTTACGGTACCTTTTAATTGTATAGATATTTAAATAGCTAAGTACCCGATAGGTCTTGACTACTGCTTATCCTGCTGTCTAAGCTAGCTGTCAATGTCTTCTCTCTGTATATCTTGTTGTATCACCATCCATAGGAAGTAGTTTACAACCGTTCAAGTTAAATTAACCATCTTAAAATCTCCCCTATTGTACTTTTTTCAGTTTAATGTCGGTGCATTGTTTAAGAGTTTAGAAGCATTGTATAGCTGCATGGATTTCTGACAAACTAAGTTGATGAGCAGAAGAACAAGCATCGTTTTTCCAGAAAACAGTGCTGCTTAACAGGTTCTAAGTGAGCAAATTACTTAACTCCTCTCCAGAAATCTGAAGGATTGTCACTTATTGTTATCCCTTACAGTTTGTAAAACTTTTGCGGAAGAATCTCGGACGACTTTCGAAATCATTTTCTGAAAAATTTTCTCAAAAATTGCCATTTTTATCTATATTAAGGTTTTCATCATTGACTTAGGTTTTGCTGTTGTACTTTTAAACCATGTTCTACTTCCTTTTATTCAACTGTCTTTTGAAGTTTATATGACAACCATTCACAAGGAAGAAAGCTTTGCAGATTTTTATCTCATTCTTCAAACACTGAGGATAGGTTGTACAGATAATGGAATAAAAAGAAATTTTTTTCCGTTGTTTGATATTTTAATGAAATACAACAGTACTAAAGTGGCATATGAAGTAAACTCTATGCTTGTTTCCGATCCAATTCATTTAGACGCAGATTATACCAAACGTTTCTTTACTGCTATTCCACAGTAGCAGCATCAGAGATATTAATAGAGCAGAAAAGTGACAGAACCATATTCATCCTCTAAAGTATTCATTACACAATACCCACTCTCAAAGAATCTGTAGTCGATTATGAATAAAAATTAAAGTGAATGAAAGACGTTGACCACCATTGAAACCAAGACGGAACGCTCTTTTTACCGCAGGACGCTGATAACTTTTCACAATTTCACGAGATTTTCAAAGTCATTCGTTTCCTACGCCTTAGAATCACAATGATGTGGCTTCAATTGAGAGCAGATTACTACAGAGCAAATTAGGAAATCGGCAAAATATTTTTAATATTAGCTGGTACAATAATAAAAGTACCGCTCTGACAAACTTCAAAACAAAACAGTAATGAATTTCAACAAATTAATTTCCCGAAGCGAACTGCTGGAAATCACTTTTGAAAAATAAGTAGGAAAATTACGAATGTTTACCAAAAAACTTTCGTTCAATTCCTGCTTTGTCCTTCCTCCCAATCTGAAACAACTTCCTCTTCATGCAACTTTTGCTTCTTTCTCATTATAGTGACTCCTCTGCTACCTAATTACAATCGAATGAAAGCTAAACGATCCTCTCCAACGTCTTTCAACCTTAACCATCATCACCCTAATACAGTGTTTTCCTTCCACTTTCTTAGTTGACCCTACCTACCTCTATGACTGTTTTCAGTTTCTGTAATTCGCTAACTTCACAACAACCCTTCATTTCAACCTCAAATTTCAAACAATTACGTTTTCTTCGGAGGATACTATTGCTTTCAATTCTTGAAATTCATTCGCTACATTATTTACAAACATGAATGCAGCCAGAGGTCTAGTTTCAAACAGATTCATAAAAAAACTGCCCTGCTCGCCGGTCTACTGTAAAATACAAAAACGAAATGCACTGCAGAAACAGGGTTGTGTTTCAGTAAAAGAATGTCTGAAAAGTGCCTGAGAGACTGATCTACTCTATAAGCAGAAAATCTTCAAAAATGCGCTTTAACAGCTGCTTCAATGTAAAAAAGAGCTACTCACATTTGCCTCAGAGACTGACCTACCGCAAATCTCAAGACTATCCAAAAAGCACGTAGAAGATTGATTTTCAACAAAAAAGAATAAGAATACCTTCTAAAAAAATGATTCAAATCATTTTGAAATAGATTTCCAGAAAAACCAGTCAGAGATTTTCCAGGCGCTTCAGGGGAAAATTCTTGTGAAGACGAAGTGTCTAAAAAGCACCTTAGAGATTAGTCGTCTAGGAAAGACAAGATTTTCTAGAAAGCCTCTCTTACTCTCTAGAAGAATTTCTTTGAAAAGAGCTCGCTGCAAGGTGGAAACTTGGTTGAAAAATCTACCTTCCGAGATATCAACGTGTTGTAACGTAGAAAATTTTTTAAAGAATTTCTTGGATACCGGCTTGCTTTAAAATGGGCTTTTTAAAGAACATCTAAAGTACTCTAGCAAGGTTTTCTCTATTGGCTGACACTGGTGGACAAATGGTGAACAAATTTTAATGGGGATTCCACAGGATAGTACAGAGACTCTGGTAAAAATGGATAAATACTCAGTTCTCGCAAATTAAACAAGCATACTAGGTTAATCAAATGACGTTATTTTCAAAAACTGTCCTGATTTTAGGTTTTAACAAGATGGAATAGGACGATGGCAGTCAAAGTAGAAGGAATAAAGCTGATCACTCAAATTAAACCCTCGATTACGAAAGCACAGTGTAGAACTAAAAAAAACGTTTGGTCAAAACAAAAACTGATTGTTCCTCGTTCTAGCACTTTATGTAACCCATAAGTTGGTGGGCCAACGAATTGCACCAAGACTAGAAGTTTAAACTTGACTTTCGCTTAAAAAGCTTTTGAGTGGCAGGTGCCAACATGCTTCTTAAGAGCGCCTCCAGCAATGACATATTGTAGAACAAAATATTATCAAGATTGCCTCAAGTGCTACTTTACTGTAAAGCAGAAGATTCTCTGGAAAGTAACTTAAGTAATGACTTACTGTGAATGAAAAGATTTGGAACTGAATTACTACAAAACAGAGGGTTTTCTCTAGAGGGTATGCCGTCAACATAAAGCGGGAGGTTCCCCAAAAAGTGCCTTAGACGCTCGCCTACTATAAGATGAAGAATTTTCTAACCACTGTCACGGGTAACAAATTACCTGTTAAACAAGTCCCTTAAAAAACGCATCAAGCATCAAATTACAGCGAGGCAAAAAATTCTATTCAAAGCCTCTTACCACCTGGTCTACTGTAAGTAACACTATAAAACGGTCTCATGCACCAGCTTACAAAAGACAGGCAGTGCTCCAAAAAGTGCTCGAATGACTGATCTACTGTAAAGAAGGAAACTTTTGAATAACTGTTTTCCCCGTCCGATTTTTCCATTTCCTTACTTTTGTTGAAGGTTGAAGCCAAGTTAATGTTCAACTGCTATTCAACAGTCTCTAACTACCGTTTGCTGACCTGACTGTAATCCCCTGATGGCAGATGTTAGAAGAATGTGAAGTCTGTCAACTAAGACCAATAACAGAAAACATGTTTTCTTAACTGCAGAAAGCTGTAATGTCGCTATCGTCGGAACTTTTCAAGGAGAGAGTACCTTTGATGGCATTTAGTTTTGATGTGTAATATAAAGCGCCGTCGTTTTACAAGAGTGCTGAAAAACAAGTGCGCACAAATATTTTGAAGAAAAAGGACAAGTTAGCCGAAGACTATAAAATGATAAAATTTGATCACTCTTAGAACCAGACTGCTTAAGCAGTTATGGGCAGAAAAAGTATTTGATTTTTGCCCAAGACTAATGTAGATTTGCATTTCACTTTCAAAACTGTAAAGTGCATTTCATGAAGGCTCTAAAGTGTACCGGGCGACTCCGAGTCGTACATTCCCTGGGCCTCCAGCGATGTGGAAAAAGTTACTCCCGTCGGGTGATTTAAAGACCTGAAGCCGAGCTGGCATTCTGCCATGGGTAGGATTTTTTTGCCACGGTGAGAACCAGAAGAAGATTTAGCACTGAGACCGAACATGCTTTGAAAACACCTCCTATGTAGTGGCATTAAAAGATCATCTGAGTGTTGTCTATAACTTTTATGGGAACCTGTGAGAAATTTGCGACTCACATTATAAGCTAAATGATACTCGATAGCGTTTGTTTTTGAAGTTACGTGAAACATATTTAGATGCTGATAAATCGCTTCAGTGTTTCGTGATTTTTTATTCTCAGCAACAATACTGAAGTTTAATTAATTTCTGCGGGTATTTTTTCTCCGGTAAAATTATGCAGTTTCATTTTTTTCATTTACTTATATTCTCGAAAGAGATGGGCAAAAACCTCTTTGATTTTCGTCAGATGTGTAATTTTTGAGTCTGTGAAAGGAGTTTTGCTATATAATTTGCGCAACTTTTTTTTTTCTTGGTATTTAAAGCTCTTGAGTAATATTGGATGGTTTTTTTGATGATGCACTGTTTTCACTGTCTTGGAAATGATTGTCATGAATTTCAAACTTCAGTACGTACCTGACTTTCTTTCTTGAAAGCTTGCATTGTACTACTGAATTGCCCTTCTGTTCTTTAAGGTTACCGTATGAATTGGGAAAGCACCTTAATTAGCTTATTGCATTTAGGTGAAATTTCCACATTGCACTTTGGGGAGCCGTTCTGTTTCTTCTAGTCACCATTTAGTTGTAAATCTGATTACAGTTTATAATGACCGCTAATTTTCATGCTTCTTGGAAACCTCTTAAAGAAGTTGACATTCGACTGCCTGAAAACACAGTAAAAGTTAGTAATTTTTGTATCTCTGTTAGCGTCTTTTAGAACATATAGGTTTTTAAGTGTTTTTAATGGTTTGAAATTTGTCTAGTACTTTCGAAGTAGTTTTGCAAGGGAATAGTGAAATTTATTGCTTTTGGTATAGGGCGCTGTCCAATTAGACCCAAATATTGCAAATTACTTCCCGAGCAATTTTGGGTTCAGGAATCAAGGACCTAACTCTACAGCATTCATCACGTTAGATAAAAAAGTAATTTTTGCTTTTAGTTTATATTTATTAGTTTCTATTTACTGTCGATCTCGACGCCTACACTGAAAATTTAAAGTTTTTGTAAATTTAGTTGTACATATTTTTTCGGGTTATATTTGTTCAATTCCAATCCTTTGTAGAGCGAGGATCTTTCTGATCTTGTCAACCGTTTGAGTATTGAATTAAAACTGCCACATACTGGTGAAAATCTTTATGCGTTGAGGTTCGACCCCAAAGAGAATGATGGTGCTTTTCTAACTGATGAGAATCGCGACCTTATACGTCAAGGATTTATGTTTTTTCTCACTGCGTCACCCGTAAGTTTTTGCTTTTTCATTATTCGCAGGGAACCTCAAACTTTTTGATACTTGTGGTTTTTTCATGCGGTTCGTAACTAATGTGCTGTTCGGAAATAAAGAACTTAGAAATCGATATTTGAGGTATCATTTACTTTGGTTTCTGAGGGACATTTTTTTCATGTTTCAGTTCTTCTAGACAACGGTAAAGTTTTTTTTCACTGGTTGTGTTTTGCCGTCATTTCTTTTTACTTGGTGCTAATTAGGTCTTATTTAGGAACGGTACGCGTTGACCATTCTTGCACAGTTGAAAAAACTAAGTTCTGGTTCGCGAACTACTGAATTATATACAGTGTTAACAGATCTTATCTCCAACAGTGCTCATGCCACATTTGCTTCGGAGTTCCATCGCATCGGTGGTGTTGAATTCCTTATTGAAACCTTTCAAAGCAATAATTTTTCTGAGTAAGATAGATATAAATATGTTGTTTTTGTTATATTTGTGAAAGTGACAGTAGAAAGGAAGTGAAAAGTACCAAAAGAAACAGTCACTACTTTATTTGTATTTTTTTTTTTTGTTTTTCAGACATCCCTATGACCTCTTTATTTGAAAAAACATTTTCTTATTTAAACTTCAATCGGGAATGCTTTAAATATTTTTTTGATAAGGAACTTTCTGAAATTACTGTGCAGATTTTAATATGACTGTGTGTTTCTGTTACCACTTCGTTAAATGTTTCACTAAGAAGGTTAGGGGATGAAGAAAAAGATCACCATTGTTACTGTCTTAATGATTTATTTATAGAATTAGTTATCATAGTAATTTCTGTCTTTCTTTTAGCAACCTCTCAATTCGCGCTGACGTTCTTCAAGCATTGTTCCTTTTGATGGAGCATCCAGGGTTGAGACGCTGGTCCGATATCCCTAATTTGTTCATAGTCAAGATATCTGAAAACATTAATGGCAAGGCTAAACAAGAGGATAATAGTCTTTTGCTTTCATCTCTAAATATAGTTGACATGATCTTAAATTCCAAAAAGTAATATTTTTACCCCAGATTTTTTTATTTTAGATCATTTTTTGATTTCTTTTTCTCTTAAAGCAACTGTTGAGCCTCAGAATTCATTTACGTTTCACTTTCCATATTTATTTTCATCTTATTAAGAGAGGTTTTTTCAAAAGAAGAAGCGAAATGGCTTAGGCTCTCTGCCGAAAAAGATGTAGGTGAGTCGAACCTTCCATTTTTCGCTTCTACTGAAATTTTTCTAGCCAGTCTAAGATGACTTTGGTGATGCAAGAAGTACCTTTTGAATCGTTGCTTCGACATCTTGAGAAGTCGGATGAACGTGTTTTACATAGTGTATTAACAGTTATGAACTCGTTATACGCGAAAGCTTCAGACCAAGAGAAAGATGCTATTTTGTTGGTGATTTTTATTTTTAATTATGCCGTTTTATTGGTAGTGATATGCTGCAAATTTTATAAACACTTCCCTTGTTCAGTCTGCTCCTAGACTTACAGCATATGTGCTATTAAAGTAGTCTTATGGATTTGCTGTCTGTAGTCAACCTAACAATATCAACTTACCTTGGCATTATGTGGTCGAAATGATGTTTACATTTATTTTAACCATTATTGTATTCTCTACAATTTTTCAAAGACAAATTTCAAATGTTTGCAGCATCTACATTCAACTCCATTTCGAAAGGCTATTGAAAATACTGTTTTACGAAAATCGCGTCAGTTAGATGTTGGAGTTGAACAACAGTTAGTGGTTATTCAAAGGATACTTTTGAATGAATTAGCAGCTCAGGCGCGTTGCGTTCCTTCCGAGAGTGACATAGAGAGGTTGTTTGTAAGTTTTCATTTGAAGTGATTTACTTTGTGACAATTTTTGAAAAGTATTCCTTAAACTTTTTTTTTCATTTGAATTTATTATTTGATAAGTGGTTTAAATGAATGATTTTTTTTTAGCACAGCGAAGAAGCTTTTTTTTTTTTGAAGGGAATGAAATGTTTTGGATTGGAAAGAGCCGATTTAAATCGCTCACCCGGGGGGTCACGGGGTCGGAAGGAAGAAATGCCTCAATTCGCTGCTTCAATCTCTCGTACTCCACCTGGAATGTTAGCTGTTAATTTACTCTCGTCGTTACTATTACCGCATTCAGATTCGTTAACGAGAGTAGGTGTCATTTTGATGCTTTAATTTGAAGTCTGATTTCCGATTTTGGTTTTAATTTTTAAAACCCTATACATCTCAGTGGTAATTATGATTTTTGACTTTGTGTTTTTATGATTATATAAACTCTACAATCTGATATTTAACAAAAAATATGGAAGCCGTTGTATATTTTTTCAAGATTGGGATGGAGTATTCTTCGTTAGTCGAGGGAAATTCATGGCCGTTTTTAGTAGTATCAGTGGAACTAACACTTATATTAATTGAAGTTTTGCATGTGATGAATGAACCAGGTATTTTTAGTATTTTGTCTTGTGTTATTTACTTAAATTGTACTTTCTTAGTTATGCTTTACGTAGCTTTAATAATGCTAGACGGTTCAACCATCGTTTAGAGGAAGGCGACCGTTTACATGTGATGTTGTTTAAAAGTGACCGCCCGTTTGAAGAGCTTTTCGGCACTTTTATACGATTATTTCATCGGACTTGGCGAGAGATGCAAGCTTGTGAAGTAGATGTACAAAAGGTCTTTATTTTTGCTGGTTTCAGAATATATATGTAGATTTTGGTTTTGCGACCAGAGTGATGGTTGTGTAATTCATTTCGTCTGGGGTTTTATTTTTTACAAGGGAATTCATTTCTAATTTGATGTTTTTTTTTTCTTTTTTTTGGAGCGAATCTCCTTTATTTTGAAGAAGTTACAAGGGTTTTGGCACGATTTCACTGTGTAATGCGGAGTAATCCGGAGTGAACTCTGTAAAAGTACGCTAAACTTCTAGGTATCTTATGTAAATGATGTGGCAGCTATTGTTTATCGTTTTTCAAGGTCTCAACTATTGGCGTTTACAATTCCATGATTTAATTTCTATTTTCAGCCGAGATTTTAGCCAAAATGTGAGAGTAATTTCAATTTTTACAAATACTTTTTAACAGTGTTCCCATAATAACTTTGTCAAATGCCTGGAAACCCTAGTTTTTTATAGTTACTGTAAACTAAATGTTAAGTACTTTGATAAAAGGTAAAAAAAAGAAGTAGGCAGCAGAGGTTTTCAAAAAAGGAAGTTATGAAATGATAAGAGAAAAAGATACAGTCCCCTAGTAGATAAGAAAAATTTAAAAAGTACTGCTAAAAAAGTTGCGAATACTGAACTAAAACGGACAAGGATGATGAAGAGAAAAAGAAGTGTTTTCTGCGTCTAATTTCGTAAATTTAAGTTTCAGCTGTCCTTCTTTTAGTTAGGTTTTAAGAAATATGTATCGCTTCAAAAAAAAACGAACCTTATTTGCGCTTTATACAGGAAAAATACAATAACCAAACTTAAATTAAACCATTTCTCTACCTAAACAGTGCAATATTTAAAAAACTGCTGCCACATGAGCAATAATTTTAATATCCACATAGGCACTTCCTAGAACTTAAAAATCAAAAAATATAGTAGGTCTGCGGGCAAATAAAAGTTATTTTTTACTTAAGGAGTAACAAAAGTAGTAAACTAAAAAATTGAACACGATAACACATCCCGGCTAATAATTCAGCGAGGGAACCAAATTTCAACTAAGTTCAGCGAGCGGCTTGTTGCTAGATTGGGCGAACAGGACGCCACCAAAATCACCACAAATCTCCCACAGCAAGGCTGGTAAAAACGTCTTGATATGAAGCTAGATCAACACTTGCTTAGGTTGCCAGCCGGCTATTTACCATAATCCTGGTCCCTGCGCGAAAAATACTTTTACACCAAATTAGAAATGAACGCGTCTATATTTAACATTCTGTTTCATTTACATATTTAAATAACCCTGTTCCTGTCACGAAGTTTCGGCTATAAGTAAATTTCGGTTGAATTGGCTTCGGTTAATTATAGGTACTTTCTGTAGTAAAGAAACAAGTCGAAATTGGTTTTAAGGATAGACCAGAAACTATAGAAAAACTTGAAGAAGTTTTTACTGCTCATTCTTACCCTCATATGCAAGCGTTGTGGGAAAAGGAACGCAATGAAAAGGAAGCAGAAGACTTGCAGAGCGAAGCAGTAAAGTTAGTTTAGACAAGAAAAAGTTATTTAGATTTCTGTTATATATTAATCATCTTAATATCTTTTTCGGGTTAGTTACTGCTTCTGCTTAATAAATGAAGTTACTTCCAGGGAGCTACGAACTTATTTAAGGCCGTCGATGGAAGAATTAATTAGAAAAAATAGGAAAAACGTTTTGAAAAATGGATTTACTTTTAGAAAAATGCAGGAGCATAAATCATTACAAAAAGGTTTTAGATTGCTTTCGAGATCTTTTATATCATTTATAGAATATGCACAAGTTCTTTGATTAGATTGTACATGTGCTTTTTTTGACCAAAAATTTTTTTAGGCCAACAATTTTGGCACTGGAAGCTTGACATGAGTGAAAAAACATTAATGTATTGGGATTGCACCTCACCCGATAATATTTTACCCGTCGATCCACCAACATCAGTGAATAGTCTGTTTTATAATTCAGCATAAAGGTCTTGGTTCTGCTATTTGACTGCTAATTTACTCACTTTTTTAGTAGCTGTTTCGGAAATAAAGAGAGTTATTACTGGTGAGGAAGTAGGCGACTCTACTGTTCATTTAAAAAGCAAGAAGCATTCCGGAATTTGCGGTTTGACGATAGAAGTAGGGGATAAGCCAGATATTTATTTTTTGGCAACTTCGGACGAACAAGTAATTAATGCGTGGTATGATGGAATAAATGCTTTAATAGGTAAGTAAAATTTCTTTTAAATTTGGGCAAGTGTTACATCAAATGGTGCAGTTTCTGGGAAGTGGGATAGTTTAATCAAATTAAATATTATGAAATTTGAAGATTAATTGTGGTTTGCAATTTCATCATTTATTCCCAATTAAGGAAACTTGTTGTCGTATGTATAAGCAGTAAACTCTGTCACAGAAAAATCTTAATTATAAATTAGGTAAAAGTAAAGTTTGCACTAACTCTAATGCTCAACATTAGAGTTATTAAGAATATCTTACGGCTTCCTTTGTCAATTTTAGGCTCTGACAAGTTGTCGGTTCAGGCGCAACAGCATGCAGAATTATTCTTGAACATCGAGGTCAAAATGCGTTTGCTTGAATTGAACTGCATTCCTAACCATTTAAATTTGCCTTCCTTGCCGACAGATCTAGATTGGGCGAAAGCACAATAAGTTTGAAAAAGCATGGAATTCTTAACGGCTTTTATTGTATTTGATGGGTTTAATTTTTCATTCTGAAGACATAAGTGACGATTCTTCGTGTGTTTCTTCCACAGTAATTACAGTTTACTGTTTTAAGGAAGTGAAAGTTAGAGTAGATATGCAATTCCACTTTTTATTTTGAAGAAATTAAAAGTCATCTCTTGTTTAGGGTTTTTTGCAGTTTGCTTCAGGTCTGCAGGCTTTATCAGGGATATTGGTAAGTCAGAGACAATACTCACATCTGAAAGAAGGTTAGATTTTTAAGCTATAAATTGTTGAGCGGTGCACAGTCTCAGAGTTACTTTTAATGTGGTAGCATTTTTAACGCCTTAATTAGTCGCTGTGCTCCTGTGGATGGAGATAAGAAATTTCGTTAGTTTTTTGAGACATTTGGAGGCGACGTTTGGAGGTGACGCGTTTTATCAGTCTTTTTTTTTTTTTTTGTTTACCTTTGGTTATTGCTTTTTTTGATTTAACTTTGTAGGCTTTTCAGAGGGGTTCTTAGAGTCAAAGTTATTTCTGAGTACAAAATAATCATTGTCCATGGAGCAGGCAAGATTTGTGGCTCTAGAGCCTGTTTACATTTTGGAGTTTTATTGCGATCAGTTATATCAAAACTGAAGTTTAAGTGGCAGTTTGGCTAGGTTTTAAGTATTGCTGTTTAAGTTTAGTTTCTTAGTATTTGAATTACTTAAACTACGGATTACATTTCTTTGAAATAGATTTATTAGGCCTTAATTATTTATTTCGAAAATGCCTTAAGTTACAAGTTTTAATAACCGGAATGTTCCATTTGATGGTGCAAATATGTAGCACAGTTTACATATATAGTACTTTGTAAACTTGAAGGAAGTAAGTCCTCGTTTTACTTATTTCTAAAAAGTAAGAAACTGTATCTTAGCTAACAACTGTCTTTTATTTATAAGGTTTGTTAGGCCGTTAACAGTTCTTACACGGTATTTTTGTCTAATTAACTGCTATATCTTTATGTGTACATTTGACTGTTAATTCTTTTTTCCGTTAATGACTTTTTTGCGTTGGTTAAGTAATTATGGCCACAATTTGTACAGCCGTTACAATCTTTAAAAAAAGTTGAACTAGTGAGCTAAACTCGGTCTTTAAATTTTATGTAAAAAGATTGTACGTAGATAAAGATGCACTTCCAGTCAGGTTTGTCACCCATCAAGATCATGTCGCCAACTTCTAATAGTGGCACCACACCATTGGCCCTGAAATAATTTTGTGTTTTCGGCACCTAATGAAATTGCTCTTTTTATTTTAGTTTAGAAGTTGTATACATTATCAAAAAATTAAACGTTGAATTATTTTGTTTATATTCCAAAACTATAACTGAATAGTTATACTGTTAGCTCAACCAAGTTATTTTTTGATTTGGACACTAATAGCCTTACTCAGCCGTGCTGAAGGCAAGGTTTAAGTTCTTCTCACGTTCAGCTGGGTTTAATGTATTGAAATCGAAACTGGTTGAAGGCGAGCTGAATCGATGTGCGAGAGCGCAAAATGCCATTCCATCGGCCCAAGACGATGAAAAATTCGTTATCTTTACCTGAGAGTGTGATGAATAAGGCTAATTTTTAAGTGCCATTGAGTGTGTGCTAGAGTTTTTAGTGATTTTTAGTCTTTGAGTTTGCTGGCAGTTGGTGTTTTTTCTGCAAATTTGCCGACTGCTTTTTGCTTGGCAGATTCTGGGTTAAATAAATACTGAATAATCTCTAGAAAAACGTTAACGTTTATAGCTTGTCAACTTGCTGGATAATTTTTAGTCGCCCACTGACACCATGCAAGAAGTCCTTGTTTGGCTGCTTTTTCACTAACCGGTTTGCCTCCAAAATTAGGCCTTAAAGTGGGAAATGTTGATCGTTAATAACATAAAGACGTTCGCTACGTGTATTCAACGAAAGTTTTGGTAAAGTCCCACTTGAATTGAAGGTAGAAGATTAAGATACCGTTTTGCCTCCTGCTGATCAGATAGTTTCGGTTTAACGTAGAAGCCTAAAGTAGAGTGCAGACGATAGAGCACTTTAAATTTGCAGAAGTAAAACTCCGAGCATGAATTGGGTGAAGAAAAACGGCAGTTGCATAATACAGTTAGGTTGTCAATATGAGGTAGTTTCAAGGTTTTTTTAACGTTAAAAAAGAGTTGCTCTGATCAGCTATTCTTTCTAATTGTTAGTCTTTACTTTGCAGTAATTATTTTTTCAATAGTTAGCATTATTATTGCATTTTTTTACGTGAATCAAATACTGAATATAATACTATATTTTGAAGCAATAATTACTGCGAAGTAAAGATTGAATTTTAAAAGGAACAGCTGCGCAAAGCTAACATTGCTTGGTTTTTGTTCTGAATAAATGACAGATTTGCATGGATTTTAAAGTTATCCTGTATTATTTGGCTTTATAAGACGTTTTGAAGAAGAGTTAGGGGAGGAAACACGGATGTACGTACTGCGTCTTTCATTGATCGTTTTTTGTAGTGACGCTGTTGTGGAAGGTTTATTTGGTTCCGGTGTACTCAAAATTCTGGAAGCGAGTTCTATTGCTTGTGCTTTTGTCATCGAATTATGTCGTGCTATAAAGATTTGCCATTAAAAACCTGTGAAGTGCTGCTGCCTAACTGTGAACAAATACAATGATTCTAAGGCATAAAACTGCAGCAAACACCGATTTTGTTATGCCCTTTTAGGAAGTCATCTGCGTAAGGGTTCATCGTATTTTGATGCATCGAGTGCAATGCCTCAAGTTGTTTCTGAAGGGCTTCTCGACGTGCTGAAGAAGAACAGGAAACAATAGTTGTGTGAGATAACAAGAATGAAATCTCTTGGAAGAAATTTCGCCACTTTCAGGCTGTTAGCATCACTAATTCTGCTTGTATTTTTTGCTTAGAATTTTATACAGCAAGCCCCGAGCAAAACAACTGTAGATTTAAAAAATCAGCGAATTTTTGAAAAGAAAAGAACTACATCTTCTACTCTCTTCATTAAGCGTAGCATTTGGTTCACTTGGTAAGTCGCTGTCGACTCGCATACTAATACCCTTATACGGTTCAATTATAATTGTTGGAGTATGCCTTCGTATAGTGTCGTTTTCAACTTCTTCAACAATTATTTGAATTAAAAAAATTCTGCCAGAAGACAGAGTGACATTGGGATAAAGTAAATGGAAATGAAAAATTTCTTACCTTTATTTTTCGACAGTTCCTCTTTAGTATTAATACTGGCGCTAGAAGCCGTTTCATTTCTTGATACTGAAGGTTGAAATTCCGGCTCTTTTTTTTTAACACTAACTAAAAATATTGACACTAAAGTCTTTATATTGTCTATTTGACAGTATTGAAAAAGCAGCAATTTTTGCTTCAATTTCCTTAAAAATTCATACTATACCATTAAAAAACCAGTCAACTTTAAAATCATCCGTTCGTTGAAAATCTGCTAAACTGTAAACAAACTTCTGAGGCACATTTTTTTTTCTGAAGGTAATATACCAGCTTACACCATCGTCTTTCAACGGTACTCTGATCTTCTTCAGCTTCCTCTGGCATCTGAATTTTGGGCTTCTTTGACACCGGTTTTTCAATTTTTGAAACCATTTCTGAAGTTTAGTATACAGTATAAATTAAAATTTCATGTTTTATGAAAATTTAGGTGCTATTCAATCTTTGACGCATAATTACAATTAATACTGCTTACCATCAAACAGTTTTTTAGTGGTTTCCGTGATTTCACTAGCATCCTTTGAGGTAGCACGTGGTAACGACTTTGCCGAGAAACCAGGTTTTGACTTAGAGCCTTCAATATTGACAACTGATTTTGTTATTGCAAATATGCCGCCAAAGCTGTTTTTACGCTTACTGGTGCTCTCGAAGCTTTTATAGGATGTTTCGGGAATTACACTGATATTTTTAGAAGTTTTACTAGAGTCTGCATGAACCCTGCTGGAACTTTCTAAGCCCTTATTGCTTAGGCGGTCACGTTGTTTCCAAAAGCTCTTTGCAGACTTTAAACTTTCGGAACTTTCTTCCTTAGCCAAACTTCCTGAAGCACTCGAAGTCTTCGTTTCCTTAAAAATTTCAATCCTTTGCAGCAGTTTTCTCGCCCTAGCACTGAAGCCTCCAGAAGTATCTGCATTCCGTACACTTGTATTGCTTTTTTGGTTGACTTCAGCCACGGCAACATTTTGACTTTCTGTTTCATCAACCTCAGCACTGAAATGCGTTTTCAAATGAGTACCCTTCGAGGTAGTTGGAATCGCCTGGCTTTCTTCTTCTCGCAAAGAGCCCTTCAATTTTCGCCAACTAAGTTTCGTGTCTCTAGACTTATTTCTATTTTCATCTGTAAAATTTGAAATTGCATGGCTCAAAGAGGAATTCAAGTATTTTAGCTTCACTGGGTTCTAATTACAAGAATTAACAATTCGTTGGCCAGGTAAAATACTGTATAGGACTATACTACGATAAACAACCAGAGAAGAGCTTATAGTTCAGTGAAATTTTGAATAAGAACCTATACTCAAACTTCGTTTCAAAAAATTTTATGTTTCAAAAGTTTAGTCACAGCCGCTACAGCATTAGAACTTTTCCAAATCCTGAATTAGAAAACTCTAAGTCACTTATTTAATATCGTTTACTTCTACTCTTGTTGGTGTTCTCCAGTACAAAAGCCGACGTATTCATTAGTATGAGTAGTAAATTTGGTAATATTCATCTCAAAGTTAAAAGGGCCATTTAGTAACCTAAAGAGGAGTGAGTGTAATAAGTAATATACTACTTACAAACTTCTGATTTCCCGGCCTGCCGCTTGTTTTGCTTTTCCTTCAGAAGATTACGTCGCGCGAGCTTTGGTGACACTGTTCTTGGGAACTGCAAAACCAAAAAATTTCTTTGTCAGCATCATCTGAAAGGATCAGTCATTTACATGATCCTTCACTAATCTGAGCAGCCATTCTTTTTCGACTGAATGCTCATTTTTCCTACGACTGGACAAATTTTCTAGGATAGATTTTCCAATGACAAAGCGGAAAAAGTAAAAATATTGAAGATTTTAGACTTGTGAAGATTTTAGAGCCAATTAGTTATTTCCAGCCCCTCAAAAAGTTTTTTAAAAAAATATGCTTTATGTCGCAAGCCTCTGGAAAGCACGTTATGTCTTTATGCTAAAGAAGCAGTAATATTCCCGGCCCATCGTGACCCGATAATTATTAAATATAAACATTTAAATGACAATTTTAAAATACAAAACTTTGCAGCTATCACTTCTATGATTCATGTGTTCTATGATTCACCTGTTCATGTTCCTTCCAAAAAACATCTGGATGTTCCGTCACTACAGTTCTCAGGGTGCATCCAAGATCGGTATGGAATGACGCGTGTGCCTGTTTTGTTAAAATTTTTGGCTGATTTAGTAGTAACTTTGTTCTTCTGGTATCAGTTACTAAAACTAATGGCAGTACTTGTGTGATGTAAACACAAAAAGTTGAATAAACTTCAAGCATCACTAAATTTTTTGCCGAGCAGTTTCTCTTGATTTATAATGAAAAAATGTAATTGTGTGAATCCATTTTAATTCCATCTATAAGCAGTTAGAACTACATCCAAACTGTTCTACCAAAAAAGAAGTCTTCAGAATGTTAAATAGTCATTCATTCAGTAAAAGCTACTCAATCAACTGCGAAAAGAAAAAATTAGATAACTAAAGAAGAGAAATTTTACTAAAAAAATGGAACACAGACATATCTGTTAACAAATCCATTTCAGGAGCTTCAGCAAAGTTATTGAACTGTTCTTGATTTCAAGTCATACAGTGGGACTAAATTTTTTGGAGTAATACTTCCAGATGTTTTATGCAATTTAGAACTCTTTTCATTTTTGTCTTCTCTGCGTATTCAAATGAATACAGCAAGAACCAAGTAGAATCTATCCGTTGATAAAGAAAGACAATACACGCTTTTACTACCTATAACTACTGTAATTTGACACCAAAAACAAGTTTATCAACGCTCAAGGCATGTGGAAACGCTCTACTTCTGAACTTGCGAGGACCAGCAAAGCTGCGGTAACCTCACATGTATATACGGACCATTCCATACCAAATCGCACACTTTTTCCTTTCATATCTTAGATTTTTTAAAAATTTTGCTGATTAGCAAAGTCTCAGCCAATATACGAAAAGCCAAGAAAAACCTGGAAAAGTGAATTTCTTGGCAACTTACAGGCTCTCAAAATCGCAAAATTTTCCAGGTTGCTGGGTGAAACGTCTAATTTTGCATGCTCGTAAATTAGTCTCTCCTTTTTAAAAATTTAACAATTTTTCATTTGTTAGATTTCTCATGTCCTGAGTTTTTAAATGCATATTAAATGTTCTGATTCTGTTGAGAAATCATATAGTTAGAGTAAAAGTAATATTTCAAACAAACATAAGAAAAGAAACTTGTCTTTAAATTTTTTCGAAAAGACATATTTTGTGTAGAATGTTCTACTCTACAACTCATCAGATTTTTGTGATGACGATTTTTTAGTTACGAGAGTTGTGAGCCATAAAGGAATGCGAAACTAGAAAAAACCTTCTATTTTTACAGTAATCCCATGTGTTTTACTTGATGAAACCGTCCTGAGCCGCTTCTGAAAGCCGCAAACAGCTGCTGTAAAATCCGGTGTGCTTCAAACGTTGGAAATTCGTTACAAAAGTTGTATTTTGCTTCAAAATATTAACAGACAATTATTCTGTGTGTAAGAACTGACTTTCATTCCAGTGCCTTCTGCTTCTTATATTTTTACATTTTGAAGCCACGGAGGAGTCAGAAAACCCACTGCTTCACCTGGTTAGCTGCTAGATTAAGTCTGAGACTTTCTATTTTTCTGAAGAATCACAGCACATGATTTCAACGAAAGAATAACAAGTTGGACTTGTGCAACCAAAACTTTAACAAGTACGCTATAGACATAACTCTAAGAGTCTAGAAGCTACAAATTACAAGAAGCAGAAAAAAATCAAATAGCAACTATTTCTTACAACTCCGCAGGATAATAGTTCGTTAATATCTTGAAGTAAAACACAACTTTTATGACCAATTTCCGACGTTATAAGCACACCGGATTTTTGTAGCCGCCTGTTGCTGTCTTCAGAAGCGGTTTGGACGGTTTCGCCGTTGTAAAAACACATGGAATTACTGTAAATAATAGTGGGGTTTTTTCATTTTACATTCCATTCCAATTCGTAACTCCCGATACTAAAAAATAGCCATTATCAAATCTGATATGTTGTAGAGTAAAAAATTTACACAAAATTCGTCTTTCCTAAAAAATTTGAAAACAAGTTTTTTTTTGTTTGTTTTAAACTTTTTACCAGAATGAAAAAGTTTAATATGCGTTTAAAAATTCAGGACATGAAAAACCTAATAAATGAAAAACTGTTAAATTCTATTGAGGACAGGCTAAACCATAGACCTGCAAAAGTAGGTATATCACGCGACAACCAGACATGTCTTGCAACCTTGAGGAGGTATAATTGATGGGGAACCAACTTTTATAATTTTTTTCCGACTTTTCATATACTAGCCTAGGCTCTACTGACCATCAAAATTTTAAAAAAATCTGAGATATGAAAAGAAAAAGCGTGCGATTTGACATGGAATTGCCCATATATACATGTATAAAGAATTGAGGAAGTTCAGCAAAGGTTTAAGCTCATGCACAACTTTTAGTATACGCTTGAGCGCACATACATTAGCTTCGTCCTCTTCCTTCTTCTCCTCGCGTTTTCTGATAGAGAATCGTCACTTCGTCAAATGCCTCAAACAAGACAGTATCTTCTTAGTTTAAAGGTCAGGCTTATCCTATTTTTTTTCTTTTGAAAGTGTTTCCTAGAGAAGTCGCGCGAATTACCTGCGTTTGAAGTTTGGGCTATGTCTATGAAATTACACTGTTGATGGCATTCAAATCTCCAGCTCTTGCTTTAAGAAAATTTGGATAAAATTTATGCGAGGTTCTTTATAAGTTTTCGTGCTAGATATTGATATAATTATAAGAATTGAAATTGCATATGCTTCTTTCCTTTTTTATTTTCATATGAAGTTTTAATTTTCCTTCCATACATACTTCTCTACACCTTCAGAAAGCTCCCTATAGTTTTCTAAGAATTATTTTATAACGTTCAACTACAAATGGCTCAAGCTCAGAAAGAAAAATTATTTCTAGTGCCAGAGCAGCAAAAAAACAATGTGGCATAAAATGAGGGATTTCACTATCGGTTAGGATCGCGATTCCGTACCGCCTAGAAGCACTACAAGCGATAAAAATTAAATGTTTGAAAACATCTAAGTACTTACTTTCCCACTCACTCTTTGCAAACTTCAACCTCAGAGCTTCAGGTGTTTCCGGTAACCTCGGCTGAAAAAAATTATTTTTATATGAGAAACTTAATCGATCCATAAAGACTCAGAAGCCATCTTTTCCGCAGTGTAGTAATAATAATCTTTTCAGCCATAATCGAAATTGAGAATTCACTTAAGAAGACGTCCTGATTAATGAACGAAACCGATAGAAGAAAAATAATGGAATAATGTTGCATTGGCAATATTACTTGTTCGTTAGTTGCGGAGAAAGCTTTGAATTCCTTTTTTGACTTTTTGGCCTCCACATTCTGACCTAATTTGGATCCCATAAAAGCGTCCTTTTTTTCCTTATACTCCCCATGTTTGACAGCTGAGTTGAACTCCGATTCACCGAAACCCCTAGTTTTCTCATCCGTTTTTTGGTCCCGCACTGTTGCACTTAATTTGCTGACAGCACTGAGAGCATTCTTCGGTAACTTGCCACGCTGAACCATCAAATTTGGTTCCAATGAAACCGCAGTGTTGGCTTTTTCTGTCTCTTTTGGACCCCTTATCACCGGGGCTGGTGTTACTGATACCATACATTTAGGATGCTCTGATTTTTGGACGCTGACAATAGCTGTAGCAGGTTTTGGTCGGCTTGCATCACTTAATTCCTCCACCATCTCATTAGCGTACTTGGAATTATCGTCTAAAGCTGCCAGTGTGTACATTCGTCTTAAAGTATGAACAAAGCCAGTGTATTTATCTTTCTAGGCTACTAATGCCAGTAACTTCAAAAGTAAAGTAAATTGTGAGCGTATGATTGTGTATGGATGAAATTTTTTAAGTTTTCAGTGCAAGTTACGGTAAAACTATAAACCAATCTTGTAAAAACCATATTCATATTTATTTAATTAAATTTAATATGAAAAAAAGCAATTTTACGGTTGCAGTAACCTTTTGGTTGTTTTGATTTCTCAGCTTTCCTTCGTTTAGACAGTAAGCCAGTTCGTCCTGAAAAAATCAGTCTGTTCTTTTTATTTACACAAAGCCAAAAGAAATGCAATAGTACAGACTAGCATTAAAACTTTTTTTTACGGCAGTTCTGTTCTCTAACTGCATATACTGATTACGGTTCACTGAAAAGCTTTGGACCGCTTATCAGCGGAGTTGCTCTACATTTGAGTATATTTTAATTAAAACACAAACTGAGAAATGACTAATATACGAAAAAACTCACGAAAGCGATAAACACTTACTGGTGGCTTCTTTGTCATCGGCGGACATTTGCTGCTGATCCACGAAATCAACAAGTTCACGGAGTACCTTTCTTTCATTCTCCGGTGTTACATCAATTTCCAGTCTTTGGCATTCCTAAAAAGCATTTGACTTATGCAGCTTAATTCCACTTCAAATAATACTTTTGTAGAGAAAAAACAGTTTTAAGAGCAAACAAAAACTAGTGTATATAAAGTTTTTCTTCTAAAAAGTGCAAAAACCTTTTTTTTTCAAAATTTAGATTTTTATTAGAAAAAATGTGATGTCACTAGAAATGTCACTAAAAAACTAAATCTCTAAATAATCTACACAAAACTGTGGTTTGATTTTCCCGCTTTTGCTTTTTTCTGTCATCATAACACAAGAGAGGAAGAAAAGGTAATGAGAAAGTAGAGCAGAAACTTACAGCCATACTCCAAGAGAACAGTGCCATAAAGATATGAAACTGATCTGCCGGCTCGAAGTTTAGTCGTTCAAACAGAATCTTCAACGTACTCCAATGGCAATCCAACAAATCTTAATTGTTATCCAGTCGATCAACAAACACCTCTGTTATCAGCATTCATAATTTTCCAATAAACAATGGAAAGATTTACATCAGTATTTATTTAAACAAAATAAAAATGGGAAAAAAAGCGAAAAAAACTTAAAATTAGAGAGGAAATCTTTGGTGTCTTTTTGAGATGTAACAAAGAAAGTACTTGAAACAAACGACAAACCACCACACCTTCACATTCCTCAATAAATTGTAACCAAGAAAAAGAATAAGCATAGAATCTTTCTTTTTATCTAACTACTTCACGAAGAAAACTGATCTTTTTTTTGGCAAGCTGCAATCCATAGATAAAAGTAAAAGTGAAGTGACGGGTTAGAATTGATAACAAACTTTCTGAACGTAAAATTCTGCTAGGATATCGGCTGGCATGTTCAATGCAGTCATCTACCAAATCTTTTATATCCAAAACTACAGACTGGTTCAGAATTACTAAACAGTCATCGGATTTCATCTTTTTGAAGAAATGCTGACATGCTGCTATCAACGATGCAATACCATAAACCTTGGCTGAAAAATGACACTGAATGAACGTCTATTTTTAAGCAAAACTTTTTTTCTTTTGTAAATGACCCAGAATGTAATTAAGGCAGACAAATTTTAACAATGACTATTGTTGTTGTTCGTTAGAAAACTAAATTTGAAAGGATTTTTGATAAAAAAAATTGATTCATACAACTAGTTATATTTGAATCATCTAGTTCTTTCACTTAAAACTGCAAAAAGTTTGTTAAAGAAGAATGCAAAAAAAAAAACAAGCTTAAAATTTAGCCAAGGAAATTGTTCATTTTGAAATCGGATTAAAAAAATAACACTAACATCTGACTTGTTACGAAACGTCCGTCAAACAGTACCAAAATTTACCGTCAAATACATTTATTGTTGTCATACAAAAAAAATCCAAAAAAAAACTTTGCCAACAAAAAATTAGTCGAACAATAAAACTATGTAAATTTTATAAAGAAAAAAAAATCAACCAATTGTTCAGTCAGCAACATTACAGAAACAGAACAAAAATTTCTGATAGATGACGTCCATTGAAAAGGTGTAAGAAAAACACCCCTAATACCTCCTCTCTCTCAGAGGCGTCCCCTCCTTTTCCTCTCCACCTTTAGTTTATTCTATCACACCGAACAACTTCTTATACTTTCTTTTTGATTACATCCATTGAAAAAAAAACTAAGTATTTTTTTTTTCTTTCAAAGTCAATCAAACATACAACAAACAAATATAACAGAAAAGTTCTTTTTTTGGGTTGAACTTAACCACAAAACTTTGAATCCCATTTAGTAGAACCAATTGTACTGAAATTGCTGACTAACTAATGTTGACAAAACTAAAATATATAAATTAGAGAAAATAATTTTAATTAATTTTTACCATTAAAATAGAGAGCAACAAAATTTGTGCTATTTATTAGCGGTGTATTTGGTCGTTGTGTGGAATAGATAAAATCCAGGATTGTGTGAAAAGTTTCTGCTGATACACTTGGAATTTCCACATTTAAACTTGATGATCCTTTTATTCCATCTAAAAAACATAAATACAATATACAACAACAACAAAAAAGTAATAAATAAATAAATAAACTTCTTTAAGTATTAGCTCAGCAAATCAATTCAAGAAAAAAGATGAGAAGTTTCTTTTCTTTCCTGATCTTCTTAAACTTTTTGTAGAGCAGAAAAAATTGTGTAAATAAACTGTAAAACTTAAACAGTCACTATTTTCGTTTTATTTAACATTCAAACAAAAAAAAAGAGAACAACAGTTGAATTACCATAAACTATTTATTAGTGTTACAGTGATATTATTATTTTTTTTTTTTAAATGTTATTTGCTAAACAGTATACTGTTTTCAATTTTTTATTGTTGAACGATTCATTAAATTTCAAAAAGAAGCATAAAATTTTGGAAGAGGATTAAATACCGACAACGATTTTAGCATACCGTTGTAAAGCGCTTCACGAAAATATGTCGAATTTGCGGAAATGATATCACGATGAGCCAAGAAGAGCTATAAATCCGAAAAAAAAGAAAGATCAGCGATTGGAACATCAGAAATTCGGTAATATTTGGTGATATCAACTGAACACCAAAAAAAAGTAATACTATAAAAGTTTAACTAAATTCCGCTATAAGTTTGTCAATTAAACATTGTTTAGCCAACAGTATCAGTTTCAGCGCCGTATCATATTACTCAAATTTGACACCTTTTAATTGCAGACCAACAACCGGTCATCTTTCAACAACCGATCATCTCATATGCCTTGGGTTTTACGCTTGAATCCACTATCCATAAATCAACTTACAGACTTTAAAGATAAATTTTTGTCAGTTTATAAAAT